CCATCGGGTTATAGTGAGCCGCCTGGAAGATAATTTCCCGGCGGCTTTTCGGCACCAGCAACTGTGTGTTTTCCTGCCTCGTCTGAGTGTCACGACTCACTCTATACAGTCTGTCCCTAATCAATGAAAAGTGCGGAAATGACTGCGCTGCGTCAGGGCGCACCAGGTGACCATCAATACATATCACTTGGTCGTAGGCTGAGCGTAGGGTATTGTCACGAGACTGTTCGAGTAGAAAAATCTTCCATGGAGCGACACTCGGGAACCGGCGGAGTCTCTACGAGAAGCTCCGCGGGCTCCCCCTCCCCGTCTGCAACGTCGGACGACCCTGCGTCACCGCTGAGCACAGCACACATCTCGCATAACCCTGTCGGTCGTGAACGCACCCCCGTAGCACCGCCCATTAACTTACCAAACCCCGGCCAATCTGTACCTAAAATGACGGGGTGCGTCAGGTGGGAGCTAACCGCGACCTTCATTCTATGCTTTTTCCCCGCATATCTAATTTCCACCGATACCACAGGATACTCGTGAACATCCCCATGCACACACCTTATTCTCACCCGGTCTGCCTCCACCAATGCCCCCGGACGGACCATGCTCTGATGAATCATAGACTGCGTGCAGCCCGAATCCACCATCGCCTGGCGTGTACCCCCCTGGATTCTTACCGGAACGCGGTACGTCGCTCCCGGACCGGGGGAGGGTGCCGGAACGCCGGCAACTCGGATCACCTGTCCCACCTCCCTCAGCGGGCACTCTCTCCGGAGGTGACCGAGCCGCCCGCACCTCCAACACTCCTGTCCCGGCGCTTGAGAACCTCTCTGTGGGTCGGGAAGGGTGCTCGAGTTCCCCGAGGTCGGAGGGTCGTGGGCAGGGGGAAAAGGCACCAGCCGCGGAGCCGGCCTGGGTCGCGGTGCAGCTCCTGGTCCGGCCAACGCTGGCGAATTCTCCCAGTCACTCTTCCCGCTGGGATGCACCGCCAGATGGTCCTCCGCCAGGGTGATGGCTGCCTCCAGGGTCGTCGGACGGTGGCACCGGACCCACGCCGCTGTCCTGGCCGGGAGCCCCTCCCCGAAGTGCTCCAGCACCACTCAACACCCCTTGGACCCCTCCAGCGCCGTCCGGCTGCAGCCACCTCGTGGCGGCATCTCTCAGCCGCTGGCCGAACGCGAACGGGCGGCCCCAGCCTGGCTTCGCGGAATCGCCGGCTGTGGTCTTCCGGCAACAGCCCCAGTCGGTCCACCACGGCCTTTTTAACGGTGGCGTAGTCGCGCCGCGCCGCCGGTGGCAGCCCCATGGCCGCGGTCTGCGCCTCCCCGGTCAGGAGAGGTAAAAGCCGGACCGGCCACTCCCCCGCTGGCCAGCCGCACGCCTCCGCCGCCGCCTCGAAGGTCTCCAAGAAGGACTGGACGTCGTCGTCCCCCGTCATTCGCTGAAGCGTGAGCCCGGTGAACGCAGCGGGCCCCTTACGATAGTCTGCTATTATTGTAAATTGACAGGTTTAACTGTTTATTTATGACATTGGCCGTTAATTTACAAGCAAGGGATGGAAATTTAACTGTATGTTACAGTTATTATGACATACTGTAAGATACCGTTAGAAATGCACTGTAAATTTACAGCAATTTGTTACAGTGTATAGAAGTCCTAGTTTTGGTATCCTGACAACCCTAGTTCCTCGGCGTATGCTGGAATGGTGGTCCATAAAATGATGGCCACGGACGAGGTCCAGATGTACCGCGAAATGTTCGATTCAATGGCTGGGGCCCGTGGCTGGCCGGCGGACGAGTGGGCGGTCCGCCTATTGCCGCTCGTGACCGGGAAGGCACAGGTGGCAGCCCTGGGTCTGCCACCCGAGACCAGGCACATTTACGCAGATATGAAGAGGGCCATCATGGACCGGATAAGGCTGTCCCCCTTTGACCACAGGAGGGCCGTCCGAGAGGCTAGATTCGGCCCGGGGGACAACCTGTTCGCATTCGCCCAGCGGCTGAAGGATGCGGTAAACAGGTGGCTGCAGCCGGGGGGGATGGGTGGAGCACCGGCGGTGGTGGAGAAGGTAGTGGTGGAGCAGGTCCTGGAGGGTCTGCCCCCCCCAGACGTCAGCGTGGGTCCGATACCAGCGTCAGGTTGGGGGGGAAAAGCATAAACTGAAGGTTGCAGTTAGCTCCCGCCTTACACACCCCCTAATCTTGGGGACAGATTGGGCAGACAGGGGGGAATGGAGACTCCACCGGCTCCGGCAGTTACGCTCCATGGAGGACTTTTCACTGGAGCAGTCTCGTGATGATACGCTTTGCTTCCGACCAAGTGATAAGAATTGATGGTCGACTGGTGCGCCCTGATGCAGCATTGTCATATCCGCACTTTTCATTGATTAGGGGCAGGTTATACAGAGTGCGTTGTGACACTCAATCAGGTCAGGAAAACGCACAGTTATTGGAAATAATTTTCCAGGCGGCTCACTATAACTCGATGGCTGGCCACATGGATAGTGCGAAAACTATGGCCCAGATAATGGCCCATCTGGGCCGATGGTGCGCGTCCTGCCCGCAATGTCAGCTGTTAAACCAGCCGGCCATTCTGAGAGCGCCGTTGCGACCGCTACCACTAATGGAGGTTCCATTCGAATATTTAGGCATGGACCTAATTGGGCCATTTCATCGAAGAGAATGGGGATATCGCTTTGTGTTAGTTCTGGTGGATTACGCAACACGATATCCAGAGATAGTGCCGTTGCGCAACATTTGTCACGGTATGGTTCACTTCCTGTTGTATTTTGTAGTTTTCTGCCACTCGTGTCCCCGGGTAACTTCACTTCCTGCCTTGTCCCGTAACCCCCTGTGATCGTCTAATAGTTTCCACAATAGTGTCCAATCACCTGCACCTCCCTTGTGTATTTAAGCCGTGTGTCTCTTGTGTCACTTGTCGCGTCATTGTCTATTGTCGTGGATGTCCGTAGTTTCCTGCCTGCTTTTTTTCCCCCCGGTTCCTCTCCCGTTCCCGCTGGGCCGCCGCAGCGCTCTCCCGTTCCCGCTGGGCCGCCGCAGCGCTCCCCCGTTCCCGCTGGGCGGCCGCAGCGATCTCCCGTTCCCCGCTGGGCCGCCGCAGCGATCTCCCGTTTCGGGCCAGTCCCCTGCTCCGAGGCTCTCAGCCCCGACCCCCGACTCGGCCAGACCCCCGCTCCGAGACTCATCGCCCCGACGCCCCCAGTCCCCGCTCCGAGACTCATGACCCCGACGCCCCAGTCCCCGCTCCGAGACTCATGACCCCGACGCCCCCAGTCCCCGCTCCGAGACTCATGACCCCGACGTCCCCAGTCCCCGCTCCGAGACTCATGACCCCGACGCCCCCAGTCCCCACTCCGAGACTCTTGACCCCGACGCCCCCAGTCCCCGCTCCGAGACTTAGGCTCCCTCCCTCCCATCCCATGGTCCCGTGTCTCCGAGCCTGCCATTCCAGAGACGTTCCGTGCCCTGCAGTCGCCGCTCCGGAGCCGGCCAAATGACCGTCCGCCGGGCCGACCACCGGAGGGCTCCCCGGCAGTCTGCCTGTCCGCCAGGCCGACCCCCAGAGGCTCCCCGGTCGTCTGGCCGCCCGCCAGGCCGCCCGCCAGAGTTTCCCGGGTGGTCCGACCAACGTCTCGGGTTTCCTCCCCTCCCACCCTTGGTCCGCTTTTTAGTGTGACCCTTAGAGAATTCGGCCCTTAAGGGGGGGGGGGGGGGGGGTAGTTCACTTCCTGTTGTATTTTGTAGTTTTCTGACACTCGTGTCCCCGGGTAACTTCACTTCCTGCCTTGTCCCGTCATCCCCTGTGATCGTCTAATAGTTTCCACCTGTGTCCAATCACCTCCACCTCTCTTGTGTATTTAAGCCGTGTGTCTCTTGTGTCACTTGTCGCGTCATTGTCTATTGTCGTGGATGTCCGTAGTTTCCTGACTGCTGTTTTCCCCCCCGGTTCCTGTGTGTTTTTGGCCTTTTGACTATTAAAGTCTTGTTTTCAAGAAGTCTGCATTTGAGTCCTGCCTCCTCCACGCATCCTTGACAACATTTCAGTAAAGAGAGTGACACAGGCTCTGTTTAAGGGTCACCACCCGAGTCAGGGTCCTGAAGGAGATTCTGACTGACCAGGGCACCAACCAACTTCCCTACCATGTCTTTTAGATTATCCTTTAAATCAAAGACTACAGGTTTATGTACGTCTTTGCAGTAATGGATGAATTACTTTTACGGCGCCAAGCACCAAATGTGCCATTACCTACAGTCTTTATTTTGTCTGTTTGTCTTGAATATTGAAATCCCTTTATTGCCTGGAGAAAGAAAGTTGAAAAGACAAACCTGAATGAATCAGTTTGAATCAACTTGTCTGACTGTTTAAGCTGCGGTTGCACTTGAATGGTGTCACGTTGAGACTGTTACTCTTTTCTAAGGGGACACATTGCCTGTTTTCTGGATTGATTTGTGTGGTGCTGTTGATAGGGAAAGATGGTTGAATTATCAAACAATACAATCAGTGATCCTTTTCCACAACAACCTGTGTATAGAGCATTATATCAGCTTCTCTGTGGTATGTCACAGCCAGTAAATTTCCATCAATCTACTCATGGGCAGCCCCACATAATTATATATTATAATTTTACATTAAACATTGTCTTTTGTGACTCTGTAGTCACGTGCGTCTCAGTCAAGAGCTCTGTTTTCCTATTCCTAAGTGGTCGTTTTGCCTTAACCTAACCTGTGAAGAATAATGCAGAAAGACAAGCGTGTAAATTAACAAGCTGTCCTTGACAGATTCAAAACTGAGGCTGGAGGGGCACCTAGAGCTCCACAGTTTAAAGCTTGGGGCCATCTATCGCCCCATGGCGGCTTCATGAGTTGGCCAGTCTGTTGGCCAGTCTAGTGGTAGAATTCTGAAGAGTTAATGCTTCATTCAGCTTGATATTCTTCAGCCATGGTATTCATTGTACATGTGAAAAGATATTATGGGCACTTCATGAATTAATATTAATATGAGAGAAGCATTTTTTACAGTTAATCATCAACAACTAGGTGTATAGAGAGACAAAGAGACAGAGTAAAAAGAGAAAAACACTTTCTTACATTTTCATCTTTCTAATACTCAAATTAATTCAAACTTGTTTAAACACTTAATGATTAAACACTTAATGATTAAACTATAATGACGGTGGGTCTTTAAGGGATCTGAGCTTGCACATCTCCTGGACAGCACTCCAAGGAGCAAGTGAGTTGTAAAAAAAGTGGCACAGCACTGCCCTCATGTGAAATCTACAGGTGGAAATTTCCAGAGTATTTACGTACGTATTTAGAACCATCTTAAGAACCTACTCATATTTTGGTTGTGATTATTGTAAGAAAAATGAAAATGATATTTTAGTCCTCAGATTTATTTTCTTCCAGTTTCATTTGATGTAAGTTGCTTTAACCTTCATACAATGTAAAGATATAAATATATTTTTGTGTATTTCTTGATCAGTGCAGAACTGACAGGGCCATTGTTTGTCGTAGGCCATGTTGGTCTTCCTTAATATTATATCATAGCACCATGAGGGGTACAGATTTAGATCAAACTGAAGGGGTTTCCGAGGGGGAAGAGGGATGGCTCTCCTTTCAATGGAATCTCCTGGAACTGGTTGATGAGGTGCTGGTCTTGGTAATAGTACCACCATATCCACCAGACAGACTGCTGCCACCGAAGCCAAACCCAGCACCGGAGCTGGAGCTGGAGCATCCTGAAGCAAAAATAACATTTACATCTCATTAATTCACCATCATTAATTCAATTCATCGATGATGATGATGATAATGTATTCAAACTGAAACTTTACCTCCAGAGGTCTGCTGGAAAAGGATGGTTGCATTTGAACCTCCGCTGTTCAGTCTAGTGGAGAAATAGTGAAGAATTAGAGAGTAATTTAGATTTGAAGCTAACACTCCAGCAATAAAAATATATATAAAATATCAAACTTTATCCCACCTGCTCTCTTCTCCTTCCAGCAGTTTCCTGTAGGTTGCAATTTCGATGTCCAGGGCCAACTTGACATTCATCAGGTCCTGGTACTCGCGCACCTGGCGGGCCATGTCCTGCTTAGCTCGCTGCAGTGCACCCTCCAGCTTTGTGATAGATAGCTTGGCATCCTTTACTGCCTGGTCACCACGCCCCTCAGCCTCTAAGATCTGTTTCTCAAGACTGGTCCGCTGTGAAAAATGATGTAGATGTATTCATAACTGCAAATCCTCCTAAACAATGGAGTCCAGATAATAACACATCATCCAGGCGATTGTCTTGAAACATACCTGTTCTTTGATGGCCTCAATCTCATTCTGAAGACGGGGAATCATGCGGTTTATTTCTGAAATCTCAGCCTTGGTTGAGCGTAGGTCTTCCCCATACTGTCCAGCGGAGCTCTTTATCTCCTCATACTATCATGAAAAATGAGCTGTGTCAAGAGCATGATCCACACAGTTGGATGAGGTGCTGAAAGTATAATACAAATTCATTGAACAAAAAAAGAAAAGAAAAGAATAAACCTGAATTTTCACCTTCTGCTTGTACCAGGTCTCTGCTTCAGCCTTGCTGCGGTTTGCGATGTCCTCATACTGAGCACGCACTTCAGCCACTATAGAGTCCATGTCCAGGTTACGGCTGTTGTCCATCTCCACGACGACGGAGGTATCCTTGATCTGGCCCTGCAGTTCCCGAAGCTCCTGCAGAAAGAACAGTTGATGCAATTAACTCTTTGTCCTTTAAGCTGACATACAGTACAAGAGGAGTGGATGATCATTTAGCTTTTACTCGAATGCTGATTATAATATTATGAGGTATTGGACATTAAAGATACATACGGCCTCATAGACGGCCCTGAGGAAGTTGATCTCATCCTGAAGAGCATCAGCTTTTGCCTCCAGCTCCACCTTATTTATGTAGGCAGCATCAACATCCTGCATAGACAATCATACAGAAACAGGAAGTGTTACAACCTGCAACATTGTCTAAATCACTATGAAGAGAAAGCACATCTGAGATTGCTAGTTTTCACACCTTCTTCAAGAGCACAAACTCGTTCTCTGCAGTTGCACGTTTGTTGATTTCCTCATCATACCTGTTTTGAGAAAACTCAATATTTTAGTAATTGCGTGGCCTTTTGAACATCTGCTGACTTTATCAAGGTATATTTCAGAACTTGTCAAGCCAGCACTCACTTTCCCTTAAACTCCTCAACCAGGCCCTGCATATTCCCCAGCTCCCTATCCAGCTTGGACTTCTCGTGGCCCAGCCCGTCGAGCTGTCTGCGCAGGTTTGCAATGTAGGCCTCAAACATACCGTCGATGTTGGAGGGGGTGGTGGTTTGGTCCTGCAGGAGCCTCCATTTGGTTTCCAGCATCTTGTTATGCTGCTCGAGGAAACGAACCTTTGAAGGAGAGACAAAACCAAGGAAATGTTTCATGTTCATGTTGTTTCAAAATGCCCTTTCTGTGTAAAATTTGGCTTGAGCTTCTAACTTACATTTCTGGGCTCAGTAGTGATTGTTGTAAATAGTTATAATTGCAAAAAGATTAATTTGTTGTATTATACCTTAAAAAGGCACAAACACCCACCCTAAAGTGTCATTGTAAACAACTCATCTGTTAAAATACACTTTAACTTGCCTTTTCAACTTTAAAAGACAACTGTATTTACTGCAGTGCATGAGGCATTCTTGTAGCCTATAAAAAATAGACGAAAGGTTCAATGTTCAAATTGCAGACTTTGGACTCTGTGGGCGTAGTGTAGAGCGATCTCTTTCTTCTGCCTGTCTTTCTTTAAGGTCACTGCAATGTAATCCCCACCCATGTTTAGAAAGTGAAAGGCTGCTGGGATCACATTCAGCGAAAGACCATTTTTGGTAACTCATTAATTGATTCAAAAAAGTGTGCAAAGAGGTTTTCAGCACTAAGACAATGAGGCCTACAGTGCGTTTTACAGAAGATAGTCGCACAGAGGGCACAGGAACAAACCTTGTCGATGAAGGAGGCAAATCGGGTTGTTGAGGGTCTTAATCTGCTCCTTCTCCTGGGTGCGGACAGCTTGGATGGGATGGGTCAATTTCCAGGTTCAGAGGAGCCAGCAGGCTCCGGTTGACTTGGACAGCGGTGATCTGTGGAGCAATGCTTGCTTGGCTAGAACCAAAGCCATAACTACCACCCATTGAAGACATACCGTAACCAGCTCCAACTCCACCAACATTAAAAGAGGATCTGTTTGAGAAGCTGCTAGTTGGTGCAAAGGATCTCCTGGTGCTGCCACCGGAGCTTGTGACTGAGTATGCCTTCCTCATGATCTTTGCAGTGGTAAAGGTTGACAGTTCTCTGAGAAGTGGAAAACAGATGAGCAGTCTTCAAAAGGAGAGCCAAGTCCCTCTGAGTGTCTGACTGTCGACACTGTCTGCTTTTATGTTTGGAGCAAGGGGGAGGATCCCCTTCCCTCATTTCAACCTGGACTCTCAGGTTGCTGTCCAGCCTCCCTTCCACCTCAGGCTACACGCCTCCATAGCTGAGTGACAGGAGTAGCCTGTAAAACAGGTAGATAGAGATTGTCAGATGATAAGACGACACACGCAATGCATTGGGACAGGCGGAAGGTAAAGAGAGCGAGAGGTGAAAAAGTGGAGTGAAAGTGTGATTATAAATGGGAAAAGTGCCTTTTTTAAGTGAAAATGTGTTTGAAACATCATACCAACATAACCCAGCATTATTATCTTCCAATATTATAAGAAATGTCTTACAGACATACAATTTTGACTAGTCATTCTTTAAAGGGCCATCTTGAGGAATCTGGTAGCATCTAGAAATGACACAAATGAAACAAATTCAAATTGGACCTTTATAGAATGAAGGCTTTGTTTGTCTGCCAGCTAAATTCCTCTAATGCGGAATGACAGGACTGGTCTGTAAAGCATGTAGAAAGGGTTAGTCATATGATAAGACGCCCTGCATTGGGACAGGTGGAGGGGAAAGAGAATGATAGGCGAAAGGGTCATCATGTGGAAATTGGTAGCATCTAGGAATGGTCTTCCCCTGCTTGGCAAGCGTTGAGAAAATTACTATGGAATACACAAAAAGCAAGAAAACAAATACAAATTGGACCGTTTAAGAGCAAAGGCTTTGTTTGTCTGCCAGCTGCGCTCCTCTAATTCAGAATGATAGGACTGGCCTGTAAAGCATGTAGAAAGGGATAGTCAGCTGATAAGATCAGGCACACCCTGCATTGTGATAGGCGGAGAGGAAAGGGAGCTAGAGGTGAAGAAGTGGAATAAAAGTGTTATTATTTAAGGGAATATTGCTTTTTCAAGTGTATGATCCTAGTAGTTTGATTAGTGGAGGGGAAAGTTGGATGAGTAAACGGCAAAAAGGTAAAAAATGTACAATCCCAGCATTAGTACCTTCACTTCATCAAATACACTCTTACTTAGTCTTACTTAGTGAACTCAAAAGAGTAAACTAGCATCCAAATTTGAGATTTCAGGATTGTAGATACTATCTACATTGGGTTTCCAAATTAGTTTAAACATTACAGAAGTATAGAACTAAATGGTCAGTTGAGACATTTCAGTTTGCCGGCGGTCACTCTTTTATTACAATGTCTCTACAAACAATAATGCGGAATTTTGTGATTACGTGGATACACCCCCCTCACCCCTCTCCTTCCCTCCGGCTACACTACATTGGTAGTGTTTGAGAGGAATCAAATAAGCTTGATCATTGCTAAACACGTAGTCACCAAAATATTTTTGCCTTATATTCTGATGGTTTTATGTGCAGCACTTTGAATTGCCTTGTTGTTGAAATGTGCTAAACAAACTTGCCTAACCCAAGACAAAACAGAATTAATCAGTTTATCAGCTTCTCTGTTCAAGCTGAAGGTGTATGTTATGTTTTTTAACAGCATTGATTGTAGCAAACCATATAACAAGCATAATTTTTCTTTGAGGTCACATAGTAAGCTACCAGAGACAACAGGAATTCTGAGTCCATACAAGTTTTTAGTACATCTTGAAGGGTTTTTTTGAGCCGGCGCCGTGGCGGCACGGATCTCTGCCTGTCTGACTGACTCTCAGTGGATGTCCGCTCAAATGTCTGACAAAACTGAACTACTTCTTAGGAATCAGGAAACATTTATTGCCATAATATGTCAGACATATAAGAAATTTGTCAGGGTGCGGGGAAGGCAGGACTCAAACGCAGACTTCAAAAACAAAGAGACTTCAATAGTCACAAACTCCAAAAGGGCAAAAATGCAGACGGGAACCAGGAACATCCAAAACATTCGACAATGAAGCGACAAGAGACGCACACTGCTTAAATACACTAGGGAGGTGCAGATGATTGGACACAGGTGGAAACAATCACAGGGGATGACAGGACAAGGCAGGAAGGGAAGTTACCCAGGGAGACAAGAGGCAGAAAACTACAAAATAAGACCGTAAATAAACCCACACCCTGACAGAATTTGACTTGGCGGTTGGTGTATAACAGCAGACAACAGTGAAAGAGGAATAAAATGAAATATAATGCTATGGGTTAGTAATATAAGGCTATGGGTTAGTTTAAACATAGGAATAAAAGTTTAAAAAAAAGGGAAAGTGACGTGTGCAGTGTGAAAGAAAGTGACCGATGGAATGTCAGAGTCAGTCAGTGGGGGACCGGGCTCTGTTGATGATCCCGACAGGAAGAAACCGTTCGTGTGGCAGGAGGTCTTAGTCCTGATGGACCTCAGCCTCCTGCCAGATGGAAGGGGCACAAACAGTTTTTGTCCGGGGTGAGAGGAGTCGGCTACGATCTTTTTAGCTCGCTTCAGGGACCTAGATGCGAACAAGTCCTGGAGGGATGGCAGATGGCAGCCGATCACCCTCTCTGCAGAGCGGATGACACACTGCAGCCTGCCCTTGTCCTTGGCTGTGGCTGCAGCGTACCAGACTGTGATGGGGCAGCAGAGGATGGACTCGAGGATGGCCGTGTAAAAGTGCACCATCATAGTCTTTGGCAGGTTGAATTTCTTCAGCTGCCTCAGAAAGAACAATCTCTGCTGAGCCTTCTTGGTGATGGAGCTGATGTTCAGCTCCCACTTGAGATCCTGGATGATGATGGAACCTAGGAAACGGAAGGAATCCACAATAGTGACGGGGGAGTCACACAGGGTCATTGGGGAAGGTGGGGCTCTGTTCCTCCGGAAATCCACAACCATCTCCACTGTCTTTAGAGCGTTGAGCTCCAGGTTTTTCTGGCTGCACCACGACACCAGATGGTCAGACTCCCACCTGTAGGCGGACTCATCCCCACCAGAGATCAGTTCAATGAGGGTGGTGTCATTCACAAACTTCAGGAGCTTGATGGACTGGTGACTGGAGGTGCAGCTGTGTACAGGGAGAAGAGCAGAGGGGAAAGAACGCAGCTTTGGGTGGGAACTGGTGCTGATGGTCCGGGAGGCTGAGACATGTTTCCCCAGCTTCACGTTCTGAAGAACAGATCGGCAACCTTACAGGCTGCCCTCCACCTGTCAAAAAGTATCCCTTTCTCCCGCGCAAAGTCCACAGATGACTGGCTCTGTGCTTTTCTAAGACCGCGGAAACGTTGTAGGCCTCAGGCTCTAGCTCATATGTTTGCAAAATAGCACTCTTGACCTTATCATAAGTTAGCCCATCCTCCATGGACAAAGAGGAGCAGGCCTCTTGAGCCTTACCCACCAACTTACACTGCAACAAGATCGCTCACACATCTTTAGGCCAATGTAACGCAGCAGCAATACGCTCAAATGCACCAAAGTAAGCTTCTACCTCTGACTCACGGAAGACTGGCACCAGGGAAATGTGCTTACTGACATCAAAAGTGACAACTAGGAGAAGGCGCCCCAGCAGTGGTAATGTTACGGGAAACTCCTAAACCACATTGATGAAAGGATCCCCGGACGAGCCCCCAGAACTGTTACGTCCCAAAAGTGTCTAGGGGTGCAGGACGTAAACAAGTTAAAATAATAAACCCGGGAGATCTGGACCAACGGCAAAACAGGATATTTAATGACGGAAAACAATACAAGGCAACTGAAAACAATCTCCAAAAGGAAGACAAGTACGGCGTATGGCTCCTTCTTTACTGGCTCACAACCTCTCTGGTTCCGCTCTGGCTTCCACTGAAGCAACACCACCACTCTGGCTTGGCAGAGCCATTTAATCCTATGCTGATCAGCTGCAGGAGTGACGTCGCCAGCACACCTGAAGAAAATCACACCCACTCATACACACACACACACACACACGTGCAAACACAAACAAGGCACGTAACAGATGAGATTTCCTTTGTTAAAGTCCCCAAGGACAATAACTATCTGGGACGGACTCAAGTTCTCACAGGAGTCTTCTGATATCTTGAAACAGGACACTGAACTTAGAGCAGAAGGAATGGCTTCTTTAAATGAGGCTACAGCAGTATCCTATGAGCGTTGACTGTAGATACTCGTGGCAAGAGGAGGAGATTCCGGTAGTAGAAATGCTATCCAGAATGCAGCAGCTCAACTGGTTTTTAACCATCCTAAATTCTCCCACGCCACTCCACTCTTCCGCTCTCTTCACTGGCTACCAGTAACTGCCCGCATCCAGTTCAAAACATTGGTACTCACATACCATGCTGTGAATGGATCAGGTCTAGTCTACATCCAGGACATCCCAACCTAATTTTTTATCTCACTCTCCCAGTTAGCTTTGCATCTGCCAACTGCTTGTTCCTCCCTCACTGAAAGCAAATCACTCGACAGGATCATGACTCATGACACGCTGTCCTGGCTCTGAAATGGTGGAAGGAGCTCACTGGTGACATTAGGACCAAAGAGACTCTTTACATCTTCAACCGCAAACTAAGGACACACCACTTCATACTCTACCTTGACTAAAAACACTAAATGAATTGTAGCACTTAAATTGTACTTATTAGCTCTTAGCAATTGTGAATCGGCTTATTTGATGAAATTGCACTGTTTTGTTACTTATTCTTCTGGGTGTGTATCCTAATGGTTGAAATGCACTTTTAAAAGATAAAAGCGTCACCTAAATTACACGTAGTAATGTCATATTTTGGAGGTTCCTCATCTCCCAGCGGTAAAAAAATTTAATCTTCAAGTTCTTCCACCAAATTTTAACTGTTCTTCTTCTTAATTGGCCACTGCCAATGGATTCACTTTCTCAGTTATGTCAGCAAAAATGTTATTATTGACATCGTCGATAGGTTACCCCCAGCCAGGGAAACTGAAAGTATCTAACAATGGTATTGTGCGATGTCCTGGGTCCAAACATGATGCCCATAGTTTGAAGAAAAAGCATTCAAAGTTTCATAAAAAAATGTTTGAGTGAATATTCAAACTTGATTAAAGTAAATCCTACAGTATATGCAGTGCATCCACCTGAATTCTCATTATATTACAACATCAAGTAAAAACCTGTAAGCAAAAACCGCTTACTTGATATGTTTTCATACATTAATCACAACAATAATGAGGGTGTTCATCTAAGTTTATTTTTTTCTGATTCCTTTGATGTAATTCACTCTCGTGTTAAAGGCTTTTACAAAAGAAAGACTAGTTTTATCTTGAAGGCAGGAAAAGCAAAACTGGAATGAAACCATTTGACGGAACAATAGTAACAAGGCTGAAGCAAATCAGCTCAAAGTTAAACTGAAAACAGATCAAAATCTTGAATTTCTTAGATGAACCGTAAATTGCTCCCCTTAATTATATAAGCAGTCAGATGTAAGAATGACTACTTGAACAATTTGTCTATACTACAATTATTCATCTCAAACATTTCATCAACGGATTTTGTTTCAGGGAAAACTGCAGTATTAAAAAAATCCTAAAAGTAGACAAGATTGGGTAAAGCTTGTCAAAGAACTGACAAGGCTCTTGTTTGTCTAAGGCCATGTTAACCTTCAGAAACTCTTTTGAATGATGTTAAACAAAACCGATTAAGAGAATTCCACAGAGATCCTTTCTATTCACTCAATAAATTGAGCTGTATTGTTGGTCATGCTTAAGAAAATATCATAGCACCATGAGGGGTACAGATTTAGATCAAACTGAAGGGGATTCTGAGGGGGAAGAGGGATGGCTCTCCTTTTCAATAGAGTCTCCTGGAACTGGTTGATGAGGTGCTGGTCTTGGTAATAGTACCACCATATCCACCAGACAGACTGCTGCCACCGAAGCCGAACCCACCACCGGAGCTGGAGAGTCCTGAAGCAAAAATAGTATGTACATATTATTAATTCACCATCATTAATTCAATTCATCGATGATGATATTTGTAATAGTATCAAACTGAAACTTTACCTCCAGAGGTCTGCTGCACATGGATGGTTGCATTTGAACCTCCGCTGTTCAGTCTAGTGGAGAAATAGTGAAGAATTAGAGAGTAATTTAGATTTGAAGCTAACACTCCAGCAATAAAAATATATATAAAATATCAAACTTTATCCCACCTGCTCTCTTCTCCTTCCAGCAGTTTCCTGTAGGTTGCAATTTCGATGTCCAGGGCCAACTTGACATTCATCAGCTCCTGATACTCGCGCACCTGGCGGGCCATGTCCTGCTTAGCTCGCTGCAGAGCATCCTCCAGGTCTTTGATACGTAGCTTGGCATCCTTCACTGCCAGGTCACCACGCCCCTCAGCCTCTAGGATCTGAGCCTCAAGACTGGCCCTCTATGGCAATGATGTAGATGAATTTATAACTACAAATTCTTCCTAAAAATTGGAGTCCAGATAATACCACGGTCAACTAGGGTGAATGTCTTGAAGGACACCTGTTCCTTTGATGGTCTCTATCATATTCTGGAGAATGGAAAATCATACGGTTTATGTCTGAAATCTCAGCCTGAGTTGAGCGCAAGATCTTCCCCATACTGTCCAGCGGAGCTTCTTTATCTCCTCCATCTATCATGAAAATAAGCTCGTCAAGAGCCTTATCCACACAGTTGGATGAGGTGCTGAAAGTATAATACAAATTCATTGAACAAAAGAATAAACCTGAATTTTCACCCTCTGTTTGTACCAGGTCTCTGCTTCAGCCTTGCTGCGGTTTGCGATGTCCTCATACTGAGCACGCACTTCAGCCACTATAGAGTCCATGTCCAGGTTACGGCTGTTGTCCATCTCCACGACGACGGAGGTATCCTTGATCTGGCCCTGCAGTTCCCGAAGCTCCTGCAGAAAGAACAGTTGATGCCGTTAACTCTTTGTCCTTTAAGCTGACATACAGTACACGAGGAGTGGATGATCATTAGCTTTTACTTGAATGCTGATTATAGTATTATGAGGTATTGGACATTAAAGATACATACGGCCTCATAGACGGCCCTGAGGAAGTTGATCTCATCCTGAAGAGCATCAGCTTTGGCCTCCAGCTCCACCTTATTTATGTAGGCAGCATCAACATCCTGCATAGACAATCATATAGAAACAGGAAGTGTTACAACCTGCAACATTGTCTTAATCACTATAAAGGGAAAGCACATCTGAGGTTGCTAGTTTTCACACCTTCTTCAAGAGCACAAACTCGTTCTCTGCAGCTGCACGTTTGTTGATTTCCTCTTCATACCTGTTTTGAGAAAACTCAATGTTTTAGTAAATGCGTTGCCTTTTGAACATCTGCTGACTTATATCACATTATATGGAACTTAAAGTATATTTCGTAACTTGTGAAGCTGAATCGCCAGCACTCACTTTCCCTTGAACTCCTCAACCAGGCCCTGCATATTCCTCAGCTCTCCATCCAGCTTGGACTTCTCGTGGCCCAGCCCTTCGAGCTGTCTACGCAGGTTGGCAATGTAGGCCTCAAACATACCGTCGATGTTGGAGCGGGTGGTGGTTTGGTCCTGCAGGAGGCTCCATTTGGTCTCCAGCATCTTGTTTCTGCTGCTCTCTAGGAAACGTACCTGGGGAGGAAGGACCGAACAAGGACATTTTTCAGATGTTCTAAAATGTTGATTTTTTTTCAATTTCATATTTTTTTTCTACCAAGGTTCTTAATCAGAGGTTGTGGTCCTTTTACATGTCTCCATTCATAGCTACATATCTAATTACAACACTCAATTCACAACAATCAACTCATGATGGAATCTTTGCCTGCTTGTTCAAGCTGTTTAATACTAAAAGGGTGTGAAAGGGAAACCACAATTTTCGTTCTTTAAAAAATATATAGGATCCATTTAGCTTTAAGGTATTATTGCAATTCATCTTTGCACATGAATCATCTATCTCTGTTGGGCAATGGAAGCTACCAGTTTATTCTTGACAAAAAATAAAAACTAGGTGTGGCTGACAAAGACGACAAAGAGTGCCGTGCTATGGAGGTTTTGTTCTGTGAGTTTGGCAGAGAGCGGATGTATAGTGTTTAGAGAGTTCACTCTTCATAAAGGACCTCTAGCTTTATAGCTTGCACACAGTTGTGTGATTTTGTAAAGATAAGCAAATGTAGAGTTACTGCTGCAAACTACGAATGTGTGCTGTGTCATAACAACCAGGTATACCACTGTGCAAAGATGCAAAGTAATAGATCCTCATTTTTTGTCTCACTCTGCCAGTTAAGTCACTGCAATATAATCCTCACCCATGTTTAGATAGTGGACAGAAGGGCTGCCACATGCTCAAAATAGGGCTTAGGCTAACCATTACCTTGGGTTGCTTTTGTATCAGTACTAAATACTGAGGCCTACAGTGTACTAGACTTTTACAGAAGATAGTCATTCAGATGGCATAGAAACAAACCTTGTCGATGAAGGAGGCAAATCGGTTGTTGAGGGTCTTAATCTGCTCCTTCTCCTGGGTGCGGACGGCTTGGATGGATGGGTCAATTTCCAGGTTCAGAGGAGCCAGCAGGCTCCGGTTGACTTGGACAGCGGTGATCTGTGGAGCAATGCTTGCTTGGCTAGAACCAAAGCCATAACTACCACCCATTGAAGACATACTGTAACCAGCTCCAACTCCACCAACATTAAAAGAGGATCTGTTTGAGAAGCTGCTAGTTGGTGCAAAGGATCTCCTGGTGCTGCCACCGGAGCTTGTGACTGAGTATGCCTTCCTCATGATCTTTGCAGTGGTAAAGGTTGACAGTTTTCTGAGAAGTGGAAAACAGATGAGCAGTCTTCAAAAGGAGAGCCAAGTCCCTCTGAGTGTCTGACTGTCGACACTGTCTGCTTTTATGTTTGGAGCAAGGGGGAGGATCCCCTTCCCTCATTTCAACCTGGACTCTCAGGTTGCTGTCCAGCCTCCCTTCCACCTCAGGCTACACGCCTCCATAGCTGAGTGACTGGAGTGGCCTGTAAAACAGGTAGAGAGAGATTGTCAGATGATAAGACGACACACGCCCTGCATTGGGACAGGCGGAAGGTAAAGAAAGCGAGAGGTGATAAAGTGGAGTGAAAGTGTAATTATAAATGGGAAAAGTGCCTTTGTTAAGTAAAAATGTTTTTAAAACAAATAATTTCAATATAACCCAGCATTAGTAACTTCCAATAATCAAAGAAATGACACTTGATTTTGAATATAGTAATGATGGGCCATCGTGAGGAATTTGGTAGCATCTAGAAATTGCTTTTTTTCCTCTACAAACAATACAAAAAAAAATTAAAAATAGAAACATGACTGTGGCCCCGTGAAGAGAACCTGCTCCGTATGTAGATACATAATTTAAGGCAGTGGTTCCCAAACATTTTTCGTCAGGGTCTCTTTTAATGATACAGGGACATTGTAAGACCCCCCATTGTAAGAACCACAACGACTCAACAGTTTTATTTTACTCCATTTTTTCTGCATCTCTTTTTTCACCTTTTTGCTGTTTCTCTGATTCTGCATGTCTACCTCTGTCTGTCTGTCTCTCTCTCTCTCTCTCTTTGCTGCGCTCGTCCCCTTGTAACCTGAGCCGCTCTGCGGTGCATGTTTTGAACACAACGCAGTTAGTGTTTTAAATTGTTTTTACCATGGCTGTCTGTTAGGGTTGGTGATGAAGCTGCGACCCTCATTTATTTGCTGGAGGGAAGGACACAACATGTTGAGACTTCTCTGTTTTACCTACCCTATTCAGGTGTTGATTAAAAGTAGATGGATAAATAATACATAATAATTCATGAAAAAAATGCTAATGCTGCCATGAGGTTTTGACATGTTAATAATATGACAAGTTGGTTCTGGTTAAAACAATTCTCACCATGCATCAGTTGAGGTCTTGTCTTGCCTTGCGTGTTTCTTCCCAGTGAGGGCCTGCATTCTTTTTCATTCTTCCCAAACTTTTCACATGCAGATGCCTTTAATTTCTACTACGGTGTGGAACTTTACTCCAAAGCTCAAATCTCTGCTGTCCAACAGCTATTTGGAGAATCTGTATGTGCAAGTTTTGCCACTAACTAACTTTGAAGTGATGGGCAAAACTAAATGGTGATCTAAGAATTGTGTGACCTTCTGTTTTACACACTAGCATGAAAATACCTTTACACTATCTCTCACACTGTTTTCTTATTCCTAACAGTATCATTTTTACTGGAGCAACAAAGATGAACATCCAAAGAAAATCTTGTTTCTGAAGAAAAGGTCATTGAGCTTGGTCTGTGCTTGTATGAAAAAACAATGGTCATGATTATCAGGAATCGAGAACGCAAGCCTGGTCAAGTTCGGATTACCTGGAACATGAAAAACAAAAGATGATAAATCAAGATTTGGGAGATAATATGCAAATGTATGCATATGTTTGTTTGAGTTGATAAATTGAAATGGGGCCATGTGCGTCAGTAGAGGGGGAGGGATCATTCAGTTCTGAAACAATGCTTTGTACAAGTCCTTGTCCATGTCGTATTGGAATGTATCATTTATGTGGCATATAAAATTACTCCAAGAAAAAAAGTAACTGGAGTCCTCACCATTTCATTTGTTAGCATATGCATGCACAAAAACAGGGCGTAAACACATGCAAAAACACAAAAGGCTCACACACACACACATACACTGCTGGCTTCCTCATACTAGATCACTTGGTGTGACCTACTTAGACTTTCCTTTTGTACCTTAGCAGTATATGTAAATTCGGTGTGGGCCCTCTACCGTATTCATGTTAGACAATATTTTGTGGATCGGTCTTGAAAGCATAGGGGATAAACACAAAACAAAACAAAACCAGCAGACAGGAGTGGGGGGGTTGGGGTGTAGTTGCGCACTCTCTGACTTAATGTCACTCTTCTGTCACTAGCTTTCCTCTGTTGATTCAACATCTTTGTCCCTGGATGCTGAAACCTGTTCAACAGCTACAACCTAGAGTAGTTTACTTTTCTTTCATGTTTGTTTGAATTATGTTGTTCAGTAGTTAACACACGTGACATAAAACATACTCCTTTGTTGTTCTTGCAGCAGTTTGGTTAATGTTTAAAGCTATTTCCATTCCTAATTAATACACCACTATCTCTGGTGCTACATCTTTCTTATCCAAAGCGCAAAACCTCATATTGTAAGTGTGTCATTCTAAAATGGCTAATTAACAATCCTTGCTTACCAACTCGTTTTTCCACTGAAAACATGCAGCTTTGTTCCGTTTGGTAACAGCTATTACTCGTTCGCCGAAATACCCCCCCTCCTCCCCCAACATTTATTTATATAGTAACGCTTACTTTTCAGCTTTTAACATGGGTGGAAAAACATAATTTGCCTATTATGGTTGAGAGTTAGTCGGGAGTTACGTGCATGAGTACAGATTTCTTAGTTATCTATGATAAGCTACTTCCTAAACGTGAACAATGAAATATATTATATTTTAGTGGAATGTTACACATTCACTCAAACACAATCTCAAATTGACTGGTTAAGAAACTTGCAGCTATGGATCAGCCGTGTTGAAGATGATGAATGAATGAATGTTTGCAGATGGACACTTATATTCAGCATCCAAAATCAGAACCCAGATCTGGAGCAGGATCAAGTAACGTCATTTCTTTCTTCAACTTCTTTCAATCTAGTGTATCTCAAGCATACACATTGTAGGACATTTTAACCATGTAATGTCAAAAACAGACGCTTTCAAGAAGTTCAGAAGGGCAAACAATGTCTATCAGATTCTGTTGAGTACAATCAAACCATTCATGGACCATGGCAAAAACACAAAAGACGAATTCTGAATCGTTTGGACACACGACCGCACCCCTCTGTGCTTGTTTTGGCATTCTCTTTAAGGTTGTGGGTGTGTTCATCACGAGGGAGTGTTGTTGTTGGATTGTAATCTCAATAGTTCCACAGTTTCACCACCTGCGAAAAAGTACACACCCTAACAACACATCAGCTTGCGTAAACCAAGTGAAAAGACAAACTGCAATAAATGTGTAAAATAAAAGGGTTAAAATTAGTCTCTCAGAGAATGTCTCACTAACAAGCTAAGCTGCATTGCATAGTTGCCAGTATTTACTGATTTCACACAGAGATGTAAAGTCAACTGCGTGGCATGCCAACACATTTACATTACATTACATTATAGGTCATTTAGCTGACGCTTTTATCCAAAGCGACTTACATTGCATTTATAACCCATGGCTTTTTACATTTTTGCCCGGGGGGGAAATTAAGGGTTAGGGGTATTGCTTTACAAACACATCCGCAATGTTTGTTTGAAAATTACAATGAGAGATATTACTTTACAATTCTCGACTTCAACACCTTGCTTATAGACCACACACACTGCCTTACGATAATTATTGGAGGATGCCATGGGAAATCTGGCACACAATGCATGACTCATTCGCCGTCAGACAAGGAAGATCATGCAGGTTGTCTAGCCAAATGGAAACTTAGCAACAGAGTAATGCGCTTGCGTGTGTCCATAAGTATTTGAGATTAAGTCATACAGTTTCTCTGACTGAACTGTTTTTTAAACCGTTGCAACATTGATCACAATTATCTTTTTGTTATTCTTAAGAACTGGGTAATATCAAAGTGAATCCATTCACATTGATAAAACCAGCTTCTTTGTTTGTTTTTACTTGTGGTAGTGGTGTGGATCTTTATATGATAATGTTGGTCCAGACTTTTGTCTGGACATAAACGGTTGGCTTTATTGCCATGACTCACTGAATACAATCAATGACTCATCTTTTTATATTTTTTATTTAGCACAATCATTTAGGCAAAGTTTTAATATTCACAGTATTTTATGACCAATGCTCATTGGCTCTAATTTCTTGCTTTATCTTTTTTTCGACTTTTTGACCCAAAAATACCTTTTTGGGGATATTTTTTAGTAGGGTAAGTAATTCTGTTTTCTATTTAAGTGGGATGTGGTCCTGGATAGTGATTATAACGCAAACAACAACTTGTCTAAGCAGGTCTGAACACCTCCTACATAGTGACACTAACTGGCCTCACAGAGAAACCGTATATACAAAGAAAGTAATCGGTCCACACATCCAATAACAGTTTCATTGAAACAATGAACTTTTAATGCTGCATGTTGTTTTCACATAACAAATTCTATAGGATCTGTTTTAAGTTAAAGTCATAAAAGGGTGTGACTACTCAGGAGTCCCAGTAAACACAGTCAGGAGTTGAAGGACCTTACATGGTATGAAACCTGTTTGTCAACCTCTCATTCATAACAGCTCTGAGAGTGTATACACATGACTGCTTGTCAGTCAGAAGCACAATGACATAGAAGCTGGCAAGTATATTTATGATTAAAAAATTCAGTTTGACAATTTGAATATCCCAGAACCCTAGTGTATAGAGTGAAAACAATCTTTATTCTGTTATCACAATATATGCTCTCTCTACGATTTACTACCAAAAATACGACTTCACTGGGCGACTGTGGGTGAGTGGGGAGCACGGTCGTCCTCCAATCTGACGGTTGGCGTTGGGGGTTGGATACCAGGCTCTGCTAACCCGCATGTCGATGTGTCCTTGGGCAAGACACCTAACCCAACATTGCTCCTGTAGCTGTGACTACAGTGTGTGAATGTTAGTTACGGATGTACAGGTGGCACTGTGTATGGTAGCTACTGTCATCGGTGTATGACAGGGTGTGAATGGGTGAATGATGTCATGTAGTGTTAAAGCGCTTTGAATGGTCGGAAGCGCTATACAAGTACAGTCCATTTACTGTTTGTTATTGTTCCTGTAGTGCCTAGCAACCAATGTATTGTCATTACCT